CAGCCGCCGTAGAGTCTACATCACCTGAGGATGCCTCGTGTAGAGGCGAAACACGTGTCGTATTATCGTCGATCTTTCCTGGAATAGTTGGAAGTAGTGGTGCCGGGAGTAGTGGTGTTGGGAGTAGTGGTGCTGGGACCAGTCGTGATGGAATTAGTGCACGCAATTGAGGGAGAGCGGGAGGTGCTCTTCAATCCAGGTAAGACACATCATTGTATTTAGTTAGCGGAAGGTTGCAAATTAATCAATATCTTTATTTTAATGGATTTCCACAAAGTAACGCCTGATTCTATCAATTACATTCTTTGTTAATTTGCATATAGTTATTTTGTTGATCCTTCTCTTCTAACTTATAGTAGGTTGACAGGTAGAAAACACCTTAATGCGTTAAGTCCAACTTTGTACGTTATTGTCCAACAAATTTAAAATAAATAAATAAAATCATAATTAGTAATGAAGGTGTTTAGTGTTATTTTAGTATATGAATGACAAATTTATGTGCCCATTACCTATAAATTTGCCTATGTTTCTATCTAATCAATTTTCCGCTTCACCGAAAGCAACCGGTCAGTCCGAAGTGAGTAATACGAGTTCATGAAAATAAAAGAATATAAAGGTCGCACTGCAGCGCTTCTTCTCATTTATTTCTGGTTAACAAATAAAATATCTTGATATTATTTAAAGATTGCGTTGTAGATTGCAATCTTGCAAAAACAGACGCTTTCGATACAAAATGAGATAAAGAGAGTTATTTTTAAGGCAGATCCTAACTTATTAATTTTACCATTATAAATATTCGGATTTCCGTAATGTAAGTTCCTGATTCTATTATCACCTTTTATTAGTAATGATGTTACTATCCAATGAGCAAGGTCTAAACGCCAAAATTGTATCTCCTTGCGTTACACCTTTCAACACTACTCACTACTGAAACAGGCAGTTGATATTCATGATGAGTTTATTGTGAGTATCCACATAACATAAGGTAACCAATTTGAAGCGACAGAAGCCTAATGAGAGGGTGCAGATCACGAATTCAGAAGGAGGCGACGTGGGCAGAGTTAACTACAAGTTTGAAAAAGCTGAAAGGAAACGAAAAACAGCCTTTGGCAGAAAAATCTCAGCCCTCGCTCTCTAACAAGGGCACAAAGAAGAGATTACTCCGTGCACTGCCGACCGCAGTAGTAACGGTTACGGTAACTGAGGGTTACCGGTACCGGGAGGAGAACTAATAAAAAAAAAAAAAAGGATCTAACACTACAAATGTTGAAGTACTAAAGGTAGTCAAGCCGAAAATGCGGCTGACGGATGTTGGGATAGAGAACCTCCGTCAAATCGGAGATCCGATCACAACTCGCTCGCAGGAAATCACTGGCTCAGATTGTGGCAAGAAGGCGGACAAACTGGCGGTAAAAATGAAGGAGGTCCTTTCAGATCTGAACATTCGCATTGGTCGCCCAAAAGAAAACAGGTGATATTTGGTTAAGGGAATTAGACGACGCGTTAAGCCTTAAGGAAGTGGTGGCAGCGATAGCTGCAGAGGAAGGATGCATGGTGGAGGATATTGAAATCGAGGAAGTCCACCAAATTCCCATTAGTATAGGGACGTGTTGGGTGCGTTGTCCAATCACAACAGTTCGCAAGTTACAGTTCTACGTGCGTGGATATTCTTGAACCTCGGCCCATGCATTACGTCATATGCCTCTAAAAAGGACAGCCACTAGTTTGGTGGTACAATGACGGTCATTCGCGACTTGTCGATGCCCAGAACCAGTCGCCCCAATCGCAAGGTGGAATATCTGTGGTCAGCAGAAATAGCACGACCCATGCGATCTGTTAGCAGAATCGGCGCCTGTATGCCAGAGCCTCAAGGAGGAGAAGGTGAATAATACTAGTTTTTGCGGATTTATCGCATATATTTAACTTTTTAAATACCCGACTGCATAATCTACGGGCATGTTGTTTTCTTCGAGAGCACACATAACAATGAAACTACGGTCAGTTTTGACGTGCAGTTATTGTTTTCATGCTTACCTGTTAAAGACTGCTGTAATGAGCTGGAAGAAAACAACACGCCCGTAGATAAATAGTATTACTCAAACACTGCCTTACATCTGGCTACCTATTGTGGAAGGAGGTAGGTTCCACAAGCAAGTAGATGGTGTGATGATGGGTTCACCTATATCTCTCATTGTCGCCGACATATTCATGGAAGACTTTGAGGAGAAAGCCCTGCTTACTTCTCCCGTAAATTAAAGGTTCTACAGCGGTACGTAGACGACACTTTCACAATTCTTCCTTTAGATAAAGTGGCTGCATTTTTAGATCAATCTAACTTAATAAATTCTAAAATTTAATTAATAGTGGAGTTAGAGGCAAACAATTCTTTAGCTTTACTAGATGTGTTAGTAATCCGGAATCCTGTTATATGTAACACCTTGAGCCACACTGTGTATAGAAAAAAGACCCATACAGATAGATATTTAAACGATGATTCTCACCACCATCCTTCACAGTTAACTACTTTGGTTAAATCCTTGTTTCAGAGAGCACGAAGGATCTGTGACAGTAAACACCTGGCTGCCGAGCTCCAACACGTCAAGCAAGTTTTGCATGACAACAAGCTTCGGGTCTCGCGCCTACGTCACAGTGAACGAGTGAAGCCGGCCACAGTTGAACGTGTACCTGTTGTACTGCCATATGTAGTTACTTAAGTGAAGCGTGCTTCCATTAAAACATCCTTCAAGCCACCGAAGAAGATTGGTCAGTTTTTACCATCAGTCAAGTGTAATGTCCCTCTGCAAGATGCAGGAGTGTATAAGCTTGATTGTGAATGTGGTCTCTCCTACATAGGACAAACTATAATATCAAATAAAACACAAAAAAATAAAGAACATATAGCTGATGTGAAGTATCGACGCTCCAGGAAATCTGCAGTCTGTGAACACACAACACAACGTATCGCCCCCGTCACTACATCAGATTTGATAGGCCACAAATCCTTGCTGAAGAACACTGATTCCTTCCAAGGATGATTCGAGAGGCTATGGAAATCAAAAAACATCCTAATTTCAATAGAGAAGATGGCTAGGTGCTACCATCTGCTTGGGATCCTATAATAAATAAAATTAAATGCCAACCCGAGCATACAACTGCAAGACTTCAAGATACCATAAGCTCATACTGTGTAGATCGGAACAAAAGTTAAATTTTAATCTATGGTTACCGCGGTTAACTATGACATCTGGACGATGAACATCTCAGTTCCCCCCCCCCGTGACCAGCGGTGCTGTAAAGTGCTCGAAACGTCGGGTATTTGAAAAGGTACGCGATAGAATCCGTAAAAACTAGTATTATTTAAATGTGTAGTGTTCGCGTGAATATAAAAAATCATTATGAGGAGAAGGTAATTTCCGCTTGAGGAGATAGCCAGACTCTACGGAATATACCGATCGGCTACAAAGGCGCTGCAATTTGCCATTGCCGACGCCAGCTCTTCACTCTGGATTGAGCTCCTGGAGGGACTACGAATATCACTGAGGGCGCGCTTACAGAATGGTGCTGGGTAAACTACATGCCCGGACACCCCCTTGAAGAAAACTCTTGATCCTGAAAACCTGATCAGGACCCGACGGTATCGCGGTTCGAGCCCTATTTCTGAGTCCGGCAAACCTAGGGGACTTAGGCAACTGTTTACGACCCTCCCGCTCGTGCAGATATAGTTTGCTATGCCGGAGGTACGTTAGCCAGCGGGCGAGGGCCAAGGAGCTCACCGAGCTTGGGGTGAAAGTCATCCTCGCCAAAATCCACAAGTTCGGATTAGAAATAGCGCCTCACAAGACCGAGACACTTCCATAAATTACGAACGTACTACCCGAATCGTACGTCCACGTGGGTGCGTCTGAAGTCAGAATGAGGCGGTACATGAAGTACTTAAGCCTCCACTTGGACAGTTTTTGGGACTTCGAAGAACACTTTGAGCGCCTAGTTCCCCGGATTGAAAGGGTAGCGAGTGCACATAGACTGCTACTAAATCAAGGGGACCAAGGGCAAAATTGCATACCTCTATGCAGGAGTGATAAGGTTCGGAGCCTCGTACGGGGCGCCTGTTTGGCCTAAAATGATGGACATCCAACGTTGTAGAACTAAAATCTAGTGTGCAATGGAGGATGGCCATACTGATCGTGCAAGAAATACACACGATATCCTTTCAGGTAACGACAGTCCTAATTCGCTTTCCACCTTTGGACATACTGGCAGACGTCTCGGAGAACATCGTGCGTGCTGTCTTCCGGTCTTATACGACCGGATGCGTGTTCTGCGCCAGAGCGGTGAGAGTGGGCCAGATTAAGTTTTCAAAGGAGTTAAGAGGCGCGACGACTTAACGCATTCGCAACGTGGCACGGTCATCTCTCTGAAAGCATTATGCGCTCGGCGTGAAGGACCTTAGTCACCTTCTGTGAATCCGCTATGGTCCAAAAAGAGGCTAGTGAACGGTTTCGGGAGAGTACAGATCCCTGTCAGAGACGACGTCGTCAAGGAGTTCGTCACGGCCCTCCCCTTTATAATGGTGTTCCCCTACCAGAAACGGGGTCTCTGGGGTTAGGCGGGAGCACCGAACGTCTAACAATGTAACCCTCAAGGAGGATGGTGGCCCATAAGGAGGATGGGGACTCGTACATCGCGGGCAGTTGCGGACAGTGTCATCTCCTTGTTTTTGCGCGATAATAATACAAAGTGATGTTGTTTTGAAGGACATATAGCTACAATATAAACATAGTGATATTAAAAGTTAAAAACTGTATTTTTTAGTACTTTTAGTGGACTTTTTGTTGAGTTTTAGTGAATTTTACACATCAGTACTATTTTCAGGTGTGCATCTACCCTCACATAGACAATAAAAGGCCCAAACTTAAACTTTATAAAACATTTAATTTATTTCAATTTGATAAACAATTTTGCTTAACTCTCTACTTATATTAACCATAGTTCACTGTGAAATGGCAAAGTGTGGAACCTGTGGGCGCTTCCTGAATTCGGCAGACGCTGTAGGTTGTTGTAACTGTAAGGTTATACACCACCGAGGTTGCGTTGCGATCTCTGAAGGAACTCGCGTGCCTAGCAATTGGGTGTGCTCGAATTGCAAGATAAAACCACCGCGTCAGGGCAACATTTCGTCGGTCCCTGTAACACCTGCACAATCGAGGGTTCTCGTTAGTACCAGGGATGCTGCCGATACCATAGCCTGTGGCAGTGATAATGAAGTCACGCCCACCAACAAGTCGGCGGAGCTGAGTGAACTTGTAGCTGAAATGCGCTTTCTCCGGAATGAAATAACAGCTATGAGGAGTGAGCTTAAGGACTACAGAACGGAGATTGCAGGTTTTCGTAGCTCTCTGGAAAACCTTAACGTACGGGTTGACAGCACCGACGAGCGGGTCACCTTGCTTGAAAAGAAGTTGGTTGAGACCTCAACTACAAACCACTCATATGAGTCCATTATTCAGGACCTTAGGTCACAAATAAATGAACGTGACCAAGACATGTTGCATGATGATGTTGTGCTGTCTGGTGTGCTCGAGGCTAGGGGGGGAGAATGTCATCCACCTGGTCAAGGCTGCGGCAGGGAAGCTGGGTGTCACCTTGGATGACCGTGATGTGGTTTTTGCTGAGAGGGTTGGAGCAGTGCGGCGAAACCGTACCGCCGGCGAGGGTGATACGGCCCCCAGGCGCATCGTGGTGCGATTTGCGCGCCGCGCGCTGCGTGATGACATGCTGCGCTCGGCGCGAGTTCGTCGTGGCGCCACCACTGAGGGCTTCGGGTTGGCAGGTGAGGCCCGCCGTTTTTATGTAAATGAGCACCTCACTCGCTACAATCGTCAGATCTTCGCCAAGGCACGAGATTTGGGACGCCGTCTGAAATGGAAATTTATCTGGACCAGGTCTGGTAAAATTTTTGCCCGAAAAGATGACAACGGACAAATCGAACGTATTAAATACGAATCTGACCTTAATAGGGTTTTTGGTTCTGGTCAGATTTGAAGGAAACAAACAAAAACATTTATTTTATTAACAATATATTATATACATACTTAACAAATAAAGTTTACTACTATCTTATGTTGAAAGAGATTCCCTATCGAATGTTTTATAAAACCCTCTGTAAATTACTTATGCTACTGTTGCATATTTATGTTGAAATATCCTCTCTCAATGGCAACTGTCACATTTTAAGTAATGTTTTACTGAGGAAGAGCATTTTTTATTGTATAAATAACTGTTGTTTATATTTCAAATTTAACTTTTTTACGATATCTAGTACTGATTTTAGTGCATATATTGATTTTATTCTAAATATGATTGAAACTGTGTTAAAAACAGAAAAATGTATAAAGTCCTTGCTTCTTGCAGTCTATATTGGGTTGCAGCTACTATATAAAATTAACCTATTTAATTTACATAGCCTATATACATCATTAATCTCATTTATATATCTTTCATTACTTGTACTCACAAATGCACTCGTTTATAAATTTATAGATTCAACTTGTTTATTAAGCCTCTTTTTGAGTCTTATGCAACCTCAAAATTTTTTACTTTTTTCTCCAATTTACACTAATACGCTACAAGTGTACACTAACATTCAATATATAATATATATTTATATTATTTACTACTCCCAATGATTCAAGCTAAATATCTAAAAATTGGTCTATATAATGCAGGTTCTCTTAATACTAAAAGTGATGAGTTTATAGTAGCAGTTGAGAATCGTTCACTAGATATTGTAGCTATTAATGAAACATGGCTTAGAGCGGGAGAAGAAAGTAGCGCACCCATACTGCCGGGTTATACATTTAGACATGTTCCCAGATCCCATTCAATTCGGACAAGGGGTGGTGGAGTAGGTTTTTATATTAGGCGTGGTCTACGTGCTATTAATTGTCCACATCCATTGTCTAATACATCTGTGGAACAAATGTGGGTCTCTTTAAATATTAACTCCCTTAAACTTATTATTGGCACAGCTTACCGCCCACCATGGTTAGATCTTGACACATTCTTGGATGCCATTACAGAATCTATTGTTACTCTTTCTAATCATGATAAATGCATTCTGCTAGGGGATTTTAATGTTGACATGCTGCAATCAAACAGTAGAGTAAGGAAACTAAATGCATTCCTATCTTCTACCAATTTAAAAAATTGTGTTTTACAGCCCACTCATTTCACTGACCACAGTGCATCATTAATTGATTTAATTTGTACCGACGTTAACACTCTCTCAGTCAACGTCGACCATATTTCAGAGCTAGGTGGGCATGCATTAATATCTGCCGAGATTAAAATTAAAAAACATAAATTTAAATCAAGATGGATCTCCTACAGACCATTTAAAAATATTATTTTGGATAATTTCAACAAAGACCTGGTTTCTTTACAATGGGAATACATAAATTCAGCAACTTCCGTAGATGATATGATTGAGATCTTTAACACATACATAAATATACTGTTTGATTTACATGCACCTATGACACAGTGTAAAATAAAATATAGGGTAACCCCATGGCTTACTAGCAATGTGCGCTTTATGATGAAGCTTAGAAATAAAGCTCATAAAGTGTATCTTGCTGATAAATCCGTGTCCAACAGAGAGCACTACAAGTCCTTAAAAACTTTGGTAACATCTGCCTTATTCCATGAAAAAAAAGCTTTCTTCGAACACCATATAAATTGCAAAATAGCATTCCCTAAGCAATTATGGAGGAACCTTAAATACACACTAGTTCCAAGTTTCAAGGACACAGGTGACCTCCCTGCTTTCTTTGACAATCCCTGTACCATCAATTCTTTTTTCTTGGATATCCCTGAGAACAATAAAGAATCAATGTCAGAACTCACATATTATGAGTTTCACAGATATAGTGACACTACTTTCATGCTATCACCAGTGAATAGCGACTTAGTAGCTAGGACAATTTTGGCAATAAAATCTAATGCGCAGGGTATTGATGGTGTGAGTAGAGACATGGTAACCCTATCTCTTCCTCACACCCTCGATACCATCACTAATATCATTAATAAATCAATCACCAGCTCTACCTTTCCCAGTCAATGGAAAACAGCATTAGTGCGGCCTATCCCAAAGAAAGCCAACCCAAGCAGTGTCAAGGAGTTAAGACCCATTAGCCTCTTGCCTTATCTATCTAAAGTTCTGGAAAAAGTTGTATATAATCAGGTCTATACATATTTGGAAAGACATAATATTCTGCCACAATATCAGTCAGGTTTCCGCAAAGGCCGTAGTACTTGTACAGCACTTGTTGATGTTGTGGACAATATACTAGCTTCTAGAGATCAAGGTAGGGGGACGGTTCTTGTTCTCCTTGACTACTCCAGGGCATTTGACAGTATTAGCATTAACATGCTCCTTTCTAAAATGTCTTATTATGGCTTCGAAAATAGTACAATTAAGTGGTTTCACAGTTACCTCTGTGGCCGACATCAGATTGTTGAGCTGCACAAAACGGATGGTACAGGTACTATTCAGTCACACCCTCTACCTGTTACTAGGGGTGTTCCACAGGGCTCCATATTAGGGCCCCTCCTGTTTATTTTATACTGCAGTGATTTGATTCATGTGATTAAAAACTGTAAATATCACATGTATGCTGACGACCTTCAGCTATATCTGTCATTCCATCCTTCAGAGGTTTCCGATAGTATAAATAGGATTAATCAGGACTTGGAGCGCATTGCACAGTGGTCTAAAGTGAACTCGCTTATTCTCAATCCAGCTAAAACAAAATTTATGATATTAGGATCTGGATACCAAATTAAGAAAATAACTGACAGTCAACCCAGAATATTATTGGAAGGAGAAATCATTCAGCAGGTAGAAGAGGCTCGCAATCTTGGCCTTAAAATAGACGGCATGTTGCAATTTGAGAGTTATGTTTTAGATGTGGTGCGTTCTTGTTTTTATAGGTTAAAGGTACTTTACAAGATACGTGATTACCTAAGTTTGAATTTAAGAGTAACCCTTTGTGAGACTCTCATCTTGTCTAAACTAAATTACTGCATTTCGGCCTACGGACCCTGTCTCTTAGCGAAAACAATGAAGCTCCTTCAGCGAGTACAAAATGCATGTGCTCGTTTTTGCTTTAATATCCCTCCGAGAGCACATGTTTCTCCTTATTTGGAAAATAGCAAACTGCTTAACATGTCATCAAGGCTCAAATTGCACTTTGCTACTTTACTATTTGGAGTAATTAAAAACAAAACTCCCGAATATTTATATGAAAAGCTTACCTGGTCCAGTGAACATAACTTTCACTGTACTCGTGGCGCTAAGTTTTTACTTACTGTTCCAGGACACGTCACGGCTGCTTTTCGCGGCAGTTTTCGCTACCTAGCAACAAAGTGTTGGAATAATCTCCCACCCCCCTTTCGTGAAATTCAATCCAAGGTTAATTTCAAAATGCGATATAAATTGTACCTTCTAGATAACAAAGAAGATACAAAGTAACAATACAAAGACTGGTTGTTGATACACTAGGTAGGTGGTTTGCGTTATTATTATTTTACTTTAATTTTTGATGGTTCCCTATGTTCTAAAGAATAAAGTACGTAATGAAATTCAATTTCTATTATATTATAATTGAAATTGAAATAGATGACCGTAGTGACTTATTCTCTTTGTAGATGACATGTACAAGCAGTTGTTGTTGTTGTTTTTGTTTTTGTTATTCGCTCGTGAGAGCAGGCAAAGGAACTATGCCATACAGCCTTGTCTTTGTGTATAATTATCCTTCGTAATTCACTGCTTCAAAACATGTTGATGCGTCACATGGTGCAGCCCTTGGGAGATTCTGATGGCAACTTGAGCCAGCAGGCAGCAGACAATTGGCGATGGTATCCAAAGATGCCTATGCAAACAGCTTATCTTGAGAATCCATCTCCATCAGAGCACTTGTTTCACAGCTTCCACTAATAGTTCACATGCGCAGACACTTAATACACAAAATCGCATATGGGTCAATGATGTACACCATTGTCCAGGAATTAGCTCTATAACATAGTATAAATATTTTTAATTTATTATTATTATTCCTTTCATTATTCTATTATATACTATTGCCAACATAGTTAAAAGTTATATATTTATCTATTTATTTTTCATTATTTATCGTTTTTCAGAATATTATCTTTATATTATATTACATAAACATATACATTTAAAATATCTTTAGTTTTTTTTTTTTTTTTTTGCATTAAATCTGTCTGACAGCTGCTCGTATGTTTTAGATTAGTGGTCCCGACAGAATAACAGCGCTGCGGCTCTTTGCTGTAGCATAATGGCGAGTCGGGTCCTTTTCGTTGCTGCAAGCCAACATAAATTTAAATACTTTTTATAAATACTTTTTACTATTAATTGTTTATTTTTTGTGTTGAGTTAATTGTTTGTTTTTTTTTATGTGTTTGTATTAGCGTAGCAACGAATAAAGTTATTTTCTTTCTTCTTTCTTCTTTCTTTCTATAAGTGGTCCCTAGCACCATTATAGCACGATGAGGGTGCTGGGAGCAGAAAGAATTGCCCCAGGGCTTAAATAAAGCAAAGAGAAAGGCGGGGCCTGGGTTGCGTTCC